AAGGGAATAAAATATTATATTTTATTATTGATGCACAGATACTAGTAATTGGTGCCATTATCAAGTATTTGGGCGAGTACTCACCCAAATGCTCCAATACTTACTCCCGATACTGGAACTTCCAGTCAGAGGGAGATTTCCCCTGACCGGCAGTGCAGCAAGGGAACATGGAGCCGGCTTCCCATCCAATCTGCATCCAGCCGGCCAAACAGCACGGAACCGACTTCCTGGTCAATCAGGAAGTATATTAAGTGTAATATATTATATATGTATATTAATATTATATTAAATGTCGGCCGGCTTCCCGATTGGCCGGGAAGGCGGATCCATGCTCCCCGAAGTACAGATATCAGGAGCATAGAAAAAGAAAAAGCCATATAGTTCCCTCTTCTGCCACCCACACTGCTGAAACCATTGAGAAACCAAGCAATATAGAAACTGTACATCTCTTAGTCTTTCACAGCTCTCGAGCTCCTCTCACCAACCTTCACGTCATCCTTGTCTCTTGGAGGACATGGAGGTTGGCAGGAGGAACTACTGAAAGTTGTGGGTACATCTACCGAGTACGTTGACGAGGTTGTTTTAAGTGCACCTATTGCTTTGCCTGCAGAAAATAAATAAAGGCTCAGTCTGAAAAGCATCCCATGGTGGTAGCCAATGATATACAAACAAGTGACTTACCAATAAAGCCCTTCTTTGCTAGCTCTATAGTGAATCGTCTGGTAATCTTTTCAAGTTCTGCATCCTGTGAGAGCAAAAAAACCAAAATTGAAGTGTATCATATGAACATTACATTTTAAAAAAACGTGCATATGTTATGACAGTGAAGCTACTGAACCATGGAGCTTGGTTTAGTACCAATTTGAAGGGCTCAATAAGTGAACATTATTTTAAATAACTGCCAGTTCATACTGGTCAGTGGTATTGCAACAAGAACTGATATCACTTATGGTATCCATAGGGTCTATCCATCAAATTTAAGGGGTTCATTCAAGCACAACATCCCCTTGCTTAAACAGCACTTTAAGGGCCCTTGAACTCAGGAATGCAGTGTAATTGGTGTGTACAAGCACTTAAACCTCTGAATTGCAAAGATTAAAACTAGCGATGGACCGATAATGGTTTTTGTTACTCTGTATTCGCCGATACAGAGTACAGATACCGGTAATTCTGCTAGCATAAAGTCAGCTTCCCTGACAATCTGTATGAATACTCACCCAAATACTCGTTATTGGCGCATACCTAATTAAAACCACACATGTATCTTGGCTCTTAGTGCCAAGTAAGATGGGTGATTCAGTTTCTGGCAGCAGACTGCAACAGGGAGAAACATGAAGGCAAGTAAATGATTTACCCTCATTCACTCCTTTGCTTGCTTAGAATCTCAGTCATTAGCAAAGGACTGTCATCTCACTGGTCCAGTCAGCGACTGACTCCCTGGGAAAAGGCGAGTAGTCTTAGTGATTCTGTCACCAACATCAGACTGGTTTGTCCGACATGGACCTTACACCTTTTGTCGCCGGGCTTCAAAATCCAGAGGAGAGACTAACTGCTCGGTTAGCCTAAAGGTGGTTTGTTAATATCCATTCCTTAAATCCCTTCATGACTGAGCTTTTCAGTTTTTGGTCCTTAATGACTAAAGCACTTTACATTTTTGCTGTGTAATTCTTCCACGGCAGTAATACACTTTCCCCCAGTTTTTATTTATTTATTTTTTTAAAAAAAACAGCTAAAAAAAAAAAAAAAAAATCATTTAACCACTTCAAGACCAGGTGTTTAGACCCCCTTCCTGGCCAGGCCATTTTTCAGTGTTGAGCGCTGCGGTACTTTGACTGACGTTTATTCAGTCATGCAACGCGGTACTGAAATTTTACACCTTTTTTTTGGGGACAGATAGAGCTTTATTTTGGGGGTATTTAATCACCACTGGGGGTTTTATTTTTTATTATAATTAGGAAAAATTACTGAAAATTTGGGGAAAAAATGTTTTTAACATTATGTTAGGAAACATTATTACCCAGTTTTTTGGTCAAATATAAAAGATCGGGTCACGTCGGTTAAATAGACACCAAACATGTCAAGCTTTAAAATTGCGCGCACCCGCGACATCGCAGAAAATGACCGCAACCAAAATTAGCCATAGGCGACGCTTTAAACGTTTTTACCGCTCATCAGTTTAGTGTTATCAGTGATTGATGGCCCTAGACTTATTGCCCTCACTGTGACGTTCGCGGCGATATGCAACATGTGCGGCGTAATAGGCGCAATCGTCTTTTTTGCACGTATGCGCCCCCGACGCATGTATGCATGCATGCGTGTATGTATGGGTGGGGACTAAAAATAATTTTTTTTTTTATTCTTTTTTATGTGTTACTTAAAAATTTTTTTTCCTTTTTTTTTCCACTAAACTTTATTGCTATCACATACGGGGGCTAATAAACCCCAGCCGGCGGATCGCATGTATATTAACGGGCATCGCTGCCCGTTTTTAAATTGCGGCCATTTCCCGCGCGCGCAAGGGGACGTGTCTGAGCGGACGTCTAGAGACGCCCGCTCAGATCTAGAGAGCTCCTGGCCGGCCGTTTTTCTACTACGGCCGGCCCGGAGGCAGTTAATAGTCCTTTATTTGGAAACACCTCCACCTCACAGTGAGGCATCCATTAATGAACGGTAACAGCTGAGGCCATCAGTTACTGGCATTCTGTACATCTCCTGTCACTAAAGGGTTACACTACATTTTATACATCTCTTAATTTTGCACTTCTAGTTTAAAACAATGCTTACCGAATAATTCCTAGTATTGATCTTCACACCAGCTTTGGCACCACCAAAAGGCACATCTAAAATTACATAAGAGATTAGGATAAAAATCATAAAAAAATAGTTGATTCTAAATATTATGATTGTACATTACAAATTTAATGGAAGCCTGTGATGAATGAAATATGACCCTGCAATTGCTGCTCTACTTCTGTGTCACTGATATGGAACAAGCATACAGATCAGGTGTTCAAACTTTACTTGCTGCATGCTTGTTCTAGGTCAGCGATTCAAAGTATTCAAGCCAGACACAGCCAACTAGTTATTTGAAGAAGTCGGCAATGTCAGCCACTACATTTTTACAGTCCAAGTTTATTACAATTAAGTATTGCACACATTAAGTTCTCTGTCGCTGCCATCACTAATTGACATTCTACTCATTAGGATTCCTTAAAAAGGACAACTATGAGGCGAGTGCTTTTCACTCCTCATAGTTCTAGCCGACCTGTGACAATGAGACTGTCACAGGTCGGCTCAGTAGATCGGGAAGTTCGATCACTTCTCGATCCTGTCACGGCTCCCTGTCGTGACAGGGGAGGAACTGGATTCCCCCCTCCAATCCTCCAGTGCTGACTGGCAGAACGGACAGGGAAGGGGGCGGGTACAGCTGGCTCTGCCTCTAGATAGGCAGAGCCAGCTGTCACTCACGCAGCTGGGCGGATCCAGACACAATTGTCGGAATCCGCTTCAGCGTCTAAGTATACCGCGAGCTGTAGGTCGCGGTATACAGAGCTTAGGGTGACGGGAGGACGCTAGTTTGTGTACTCCCGTTACCCTGAGAACTATGGGGAAAAGCCCTAACCCTATAGTTCTCCTTTAATGAAGACAATGAGCCATCAAGAGGAATAAAAAGAAAATGCCAATGCACAGCTTCCTGTAGGTGGGCTTTACAAATATGAGTTACGGTAACGTGCTGTAAATACGTGTTTTAATCCACGTTACTGCCACACACAATACTATGAGTGGTGCTAAACCATGCTACCGCAATGCAAAAGTACAGTAGGTGCCCATAAACCCACTGTGGTGTGATGTTCTGGTTTTCGGTTTGTTGTGCGTAGGAATGCACAGATACCGATACTAGTATGGTAAATCAGTGGCGATACCAAGTATTTGGGCGGGCACTCGTCCAAATGCTCTCGATTCCTATCCCGAAACTTCCGGAATAAGGAAGCTGGGCGGCGAGTCACACACAGTGTTGGCTTCCTAATTGGACAGTAAGCCGGATCCATGCTTGATCGTCACCTGGTGTCATTACACACCGCCTGGCGTCCTGCCTAATCAGGAAGCTGGCATCCCAGCTTCATTAATGGGACTTCCAGTATCGGTATTGGTGAGTACCGAAAGAGTGGGGGGGGGGGGGGGGTGAATATG